CTCCGCCACGCCCGTGCACAGCCCTGACGCCGACCGCCCTGGACCCCTGTTCGTGGACGTGCAGGCCCGGGAGGCGGAGCGAGGGCCCCTGGCCTCCCCAGCCTTCTCCCCTCGGAGCCCGGCCTGGATTCCCGTGCCCGCTCGCCGGGAGACGGAGAAGGCGCCCCGAGAGGAGCGGAAGGCCCCTGAAGACAAGAAGTCCATGATCCTCAGTGTCCTGGACACGTCCCTGCAGCGGCCAGCGGGCCTTATTGTCGTGCACGCCACCAGCAACGGGCAGGAGCCCGGCAGGCTGGCGGTGGAGGAGCAGCGCGCAGGCACCCCGGAGCTGGCCCCGGCCACTGTGCAGTCCGCGGCGGGGGCAGAGCCGCTGCCCAGCCCCCGGGCCCAGCCCCCCGGCAGCTCCCCAGCAGAGCCAGGACCAGGCCAGGGCAGCTCGGAGGAGGAGCCGGAGCTGGTGTTTGCTGTGAACCTGCCGCCCGCCCAGCTGTCCTCCAGTGATGAGGAGACCAGGGAGGAGCTGGCCCGCATTGGGCTGGTGCCACCCCCTGAAGAGTTTGCCAATGGGATCCTGGTGGCCACCCCACTCCCCGGCCCGGGCCCCTCACCCACCACGGTGCCCAGCCCGGCCTCAGGGAAGCCCGGCACTGAGCCACCCCCTGCCCCTGAGTCTGCAGCTGACTCCGGGGTGGAGGAGGCTGACACACGCAGCTCCAGTGACCCCCACCTGGAGACCACGAGCACCATCTCCACGGTGTCCAGCATGTCCACGTTGAGCTCGGAGAGTGGGGAGCTCACCGACACCCACACCTCCTTCGCCGATGGACACACTTTTCTACTCGAGAAGCCACCAGTGCCTCCCAAGCCCAAGCTCAAGTCCCCGCTGGGGAAGGGGCCGGTGACCTTCAGGGACCCGCTGCTGAAACAGTCCTCGGACAGCGAGCTCATGGCCCAGCAGCACCACGCCGCCTCTGCCGGGCTGGCCTCTGCCGCCGGGCCTGCCCGCCCTCGCTACCTCTTCCAGAGAAGGTCCAAGCTATGGGGGGACCCCGTGGAGAGCCGGGGGCTCCCTGGGCCTGAAGACGACAAACCAACTGTGATCAGTGAGCTCAGCTCCCGCCTGCAGCAGCTGAACAAAGACACGCGCTCCCTGGGGGAGGAACCGGTTGGCGGCCTGGGCGGCCTGCTGGACCCTGCCAAGAAGTCACCCATCGCAGCAGCTCGGTGAGCAGGGCAGTGCGGGAGGGTCCCGTCCCATGTCCGCGGTCCCTCCTCTGTTCTTCCTCTCGTCCATCCCTCACCTGTGTGTGGCGCGTCCCTTTCCACCCTCGCCCCCAGTCGTCCACCTGTTGATCTGTATCTGGTATTGCTCTGGGCATCTGAAACATCAGGGTGGCTGCTCTCCGTGTCCCTGCTGGTGCTGACCCGGGGTGGGTGTGAGCACCTCCGTGGCCCTCCTGGAGGCTCCCTGCCTGGGGGGTTCCTGTGGGCTCTCACTCCTGACCCAAACTCCCTCTACTATGAGGGGTAGTTTTAGGGTCCACTGCACTGTGCTCCCCCAGCCATCTGGCTTCTTGGTGGCCCTGTGTCTACCACCCCACACCTCCACTCCTGACCTCTCTGTGGCCGTGTGGTCGCCCCATGTGGCTGGCACCATTTCTCCTAGAGCTGCCCCTTCTTGCTTCCTTTTGGGGCTCTGAGTACACTGGCTCCTGTTCTTTTTGGGGCTTGCTGCTGATTTCCTTTCATCTGCCTCAGAAACGTTTCTGTCTCTCGGCACCACCTTGGAGTCCCTCAAACACAGATTCTTGTGTGTGATTTAAAGTGCATTGAGAAGATAGATGGAAGTCACACCATCTCTCTACACCTCTGTCTGCCCTCTTGCCTCTTCCACGTCCCTTCCCTGCCTCTCTGTCCTCCTCTCCCACCCCCTACCCAGGGTGGGGACATGGGGGTAGCTGGCATGGGGAGAGGGGCTGAGCGGGGGCTGGTGCTGCTGAGGCTGTTGCTGCTTTGTCTAGGCAGAAGCTGCCGGAGCCCCTGGCTGATCCTTGAGGACCCCTTCCCCAAGGCTCCCTCCAAGGGGAGCCCTCAGGCCCGCGGGCTGCATGGATGCTGGTGGGAGAGCTGGTTCCTGCTGGTCTGAGGCAGAGTGGGTGGTCCGCTGGCCAGCCCCCTTGGCTGTCTTTGCCTTCTGTGTCCCTGGGTCCCCCTCCCTGCTTCTGGGTTTGGGAGAGTGTGTGGGATGCCACCTCCTGACTCCTTCCCGCTGCCCCGAAGACCAGCCTAGTGGGCCCTTTGCTGTCAGCCTTGGAAGGCAGAACTGACAAAGTACTGAGGAGCTCGGAGCTTAAAGACTGTGGGTTTTACTCTAGCTTCTTCCAGTTCAGGATTCAAAAGATAAGTGGGAGCTTGGGAAGCTCACGGTGCCTGTCCTGAGTGGTCTGGGAGCGCTGCCTCCAGCTCCTGTCATCCTGGGGCTCGCTCTGGGGCCCTCTCCTCTTTTTGCCTCTTCTAACTCCCAGTCAAACTTGAAAGCCTTCTTCCCAGGAATGCGATGTAGAAAGCACCCTAAGAGCGGATAGTAGGTGTCAAGTCGGGAGGAGCAGCCCAGGTCCTAGGCCCCTGTGCGGGACCAGACACCTGAGGGTGGGCGCCTCCTGACCCAGCCTTGACCAGCGCCCTGTCTTCGCTGCCTGCTTCTCACCCCTCCACCGGCCCTGTTCCTTTCTGCCTCTTGGTCTCGATGAAAAACAAGGCCATTTAAAGCGCATTTCACAGCGCCTGGCCCAGCACAGGCCCTCAATAAACGTTTGCTAAATGGATGAAAGAGCAAAGCTGAATCCAAGTGCTGTTTTTTGTGAGTTGAGGTCTAGGGAGATGGCTTAGGACAAATACCACAGAAGGACAGACATGGTGGTTGAGGTTTGCTGGTGTCGTGCCCCCATGGTCGGGCTCAGGTGAGCGCAGGTCTCTCATTGGCTCCGCTCGCTCCCATGGGGCGGCTGCAGGTGATTCCTCAGCTGGAAGCTTCGGGCACGCTCCTCCAGTGAGCTCATCCTCCCGCCGTGACCGTCAGCACTTGGCTCAGTCACGGGGGTGCTCTCTTATCCTTTGCCCTGGGTTTTGCCAGGTCCTGTGATCGTTTTTCTTTCTCAGACATGGGGTGGGAAGGGCAAGCCGACCCTTACAGTCTCTGTTCTGTAGCCCACTGGACAGTGAGCCTCTTCTTCTCAGTGGCCTTCGACTGGCTCTGTCAGGGGCTGCAGGCTGCCACTGGCCACGCTTCAGTCCTTTGTTCTCCCTGGAGCCTGGGGGTGGGGTCATCCACTTGGCAAACAGGTGCGGAGAGTGAGGGAGGGTGGCTCTCCAGAGGGACCGCATGCTGGGCATCCTAAAGCAGCAGACATCCCTTCGTTTCTTTGCCTGATACCAGCCTGGAGCCATCAGAGGGCCCTGGGGTTCAGCCCTTAGCAGGTCACTCTCAGTTCTATAGTCGTGGGCAAGCCACTTACCCTCTGTGAGCTTCTGTCCCTCCCCTTTGAAATGGGGGTGAATCACCAGTGACACACCTGGGGCCCTCCTGTGTGTAAGATAGCCTTGTCTTCACTGTCACTAACACCAGGTGCTTGATGGGCACCTAGGTCAAGTCTTGGAGTCCTTTGTGGGAAAATAAGCATGCTGGACATGACACGGGAGAATGGCACGTCACAGTCTTTTGTCTTCACAATCATTCTTTTTTTTTTTTTTTTTTTTTTTTTTTTTCCGTGTCCGGCAACGGATCGCA